TAATGATCCGTTGTTTTTACTGCAACAGCATTCACGTTCTGTTATTTCTTTATGCATGAAAAATATTCGGCACAAATTGCTAGAATATGTCTATGACAATGGTCTGGTGTTTATATGTACTTGCATCTTCAGCATAAGTATCATTTGTTTGAGCTCAGTTTGTCTGTAAGTAGCGATAATCTGAGAACATAATTATGAATGTTGGTATATCAGATTCTAACAGATGCTGCTCTGCTGAAGAGGCAAAAACTGGAAATAGAGGAACTTCGCAAAAAGCTGCAGGTTTGTCTTGCTTGCTTGATGTTGCTCTCCGTATGTGACGTGCATTACTGTTACTTAAAGTTTTTTGTTTAAATTTCAGGGTTCCCATTCTGAAGTCTTGGAGCAGGTTATCCTAAAGCAACGCAATGACATGCATAAGGTATGTAAAGACTAACATTTCCAGTAGAACAGGTGTTTCCTATTCATTATGAACTTCCTCTTATGGCGCATTGTACGACTGTTAAACTGTTTTTAACATATGAAGTTATGCTGATTATCTCTTGCAGTCTGAACTCGAGCGTGATCGTCTAGCAATGGAACTTGAAGACGAAAGGAGGTTAAGGGAGATATTAGAGCACCGGTTGGCCGAGCAAAAGATGTCACAGAACCACAACAATACTGACATATCAGTAGAGCAATTTGCTGATTCTAGCCAGGTATGCTTGGTGAGGCAGCAACACGTAAAACTTTTGTTAGTTCAATGTGTAGTCAATTCGAGTTTCATATTTTCAATTTTTGCACATCTTCGTCCTGGTCCTCTGGAACCACATCACATTCTTCCTTTCAACCTGCTTGTTAATACTCAAGCCCAGATGTTGGTGAAATTCACAACTATTGGTTGACCTTTTGCAGCTAGACGTATTAAAAACTCCAGATTCTCAGCGGACACAGGATGGATTCATTGCTAGCCGCTCACACTATTTGAAGGATGCAGAGTTCTGCCCAATACCTGAAAATTTAGGTTCTGTGGCTGATGAGGATCTCTGGATGCAATTGAATAAAGAATGCATCACTGATCTTGATATGCTTGAAATGACATCTGATTTTAAATGTCCTCCGTCCCCAGAAGATACGACAGCGGTAAGTCCAGTTTCAATTATTTTTCTTTGATGATCCTGCAAACATGTTTGTCTACAGGTATTTTAGGCGGTATGTGTTTATAGACTAGAAGCAAACATGCACTTTGCTGCGCCAAATCATTTTTCTTGTAAATTTTTGAAGATCCATATGATTTTTTGGAACTGATGTGGAATAACCAACAATTATAAGGCTTAAAATACATCAAAGCTGCCATGGGGTTCTATCCTTAGGGAGCTTAAAAACTTGTAAGATTAGAATGTTAGGTATGTGCGACATTTTTATATTGAATAGCCCAAGGGCATTTTACACAAGCCTTGGGGGTATAAGAAAGGAAATACAGACTAATACGGACTCCTATACCAATAATAATACTCCTCAACAGCCCCCTCAAATGCTAAGTGTATGCAATAACATTGCATTTCAAGAAGTGTAACACTAGAGAAAAAAATAATGATAAAAAATCTGCGTCTTGAGAGTGTCATCGTAGCATGGACAATCTTCAAAACTTTTTTTAGGGAACTATTAGCACACATACTTGATTGGACTGGCTGTTTGATGTTTGAATAGTAATAAGAGCATCTCCAGCCGTTCGGCCCCCCAAGGGACTGAAATAGCGCCTCCTGGGGGTTAACCGGCGATATTTCCGCCATGGGGGCACTTGGGTTCCCAACCGCCGCCCCAAGTTGGCACCCAGACACCGTTTTTCAAATGCAAATTGGGCTCATTCATAGAAAATGACTCGATTTTGGATGAGATTTAGGCGGTTTCATTCATATTTGTACAAATTTAAAGACATACATAAAAACTTACAAAAAATTGTGCCACCGCCGCCGCCCCGAGCCTAGTTCATGCTGAGGAGCTTGTAGAAGGCGATGTAGTTGTCGCCGCTGTCATCGTCATCGCCGTCGTCCTGCATGCCGCCATCCTTGCTGCAGCCCTGCCCTGGATCGCTGCTGCGGACGGGGTTGGTCGGCGCCGGCGCCTCGTCGTCGCTGTCGAGGACGATGACGCCATCCTCCTCGCGGCCCAGCGTCGCTCGGCGATCTCCTCCAGCGCGGCACTAACGCTCCATCTCCTCCCACACGTAGTCGTCGCACGACCATTTCAGGCCGGTGTCGAGGTCGGCAGCCATCTCCACGTGTTCTTGTTTGATGACCACGGGCGTCACCGACTCCTTCAGCCTGACCAGGCGAAGATGGTCGCGGGGAGGTGAAGGTTGGCGGCGACCCTCGTTTATGACGAGGTTGCCGCCGCGGCTGCGTCGGTGCTCCGGCGTCTCCTGGGGCTCGGGCTTGACAACGGAGCGGCGTCGTGCCGAAGGAGCGAGAGCTGGAGGATGACCCCACCATGCACCTCGGCAGCCATGAGCTCCTGCTCCGACGCGAGAACGACGGTGCCGGGTACTCCAACGGCGGCTCGTTGCCGCCTTCGATGTGCTCGAGGACGGTGTGGAGCGTGCGCCCGGGGACGCCCCACCACTGACAGCGGCTGTCGCAGTTGTGGTGCCCCCTTGGCGCCAAAGTGCTGAAGCTGGTCGGCGTGGTGGCGCTAGAAATACGCCATCCACAGAGTGGGGGTTGTCGACGGCATACCTCGTCTGCTGCTGCGCTTCCTCGGGCAAGGACGCCCGGAGGGCGGCGGGGGCACGGGGACGCCTTCGGCGTTGAGCCTCCAAGCGCCCGGCACGCGCATGTCGGGCGGCGCCGGGTAGTTGGCCTTGTGGAGAACGCATGCCTCCCACTCGTGCAGATGCCGGCGGCCGAAGGCGTTGGCCGCCGCTCCGTCGTCGAGGAACCTCTCCGCCATGGGCTCGGGCTTGACAGTGAAGGAGAGAGGGCGAGAGCAAGGACGGCGAAGGAGAGAAGGTGGTCGGCGGCGAGAGAGAGATGGTTGTGGCATGGCGAGTGTGCGGCCGAAGGCGGCTTTTATAGCGCCGAGGGGGCGGCAGCAGTGCGGACGCGTGGCGGGAAAGGGCGGGACGGGCAGCGGCTCGCCTTCAATGCGCCGCCCGTGATCAATGGAAGGCTGATCAGCGGCAGCCTTGGCATTAATTCGCGCGGGAGCCGAGGCGATGAGATGAGGACGATGATGCCTAGTCACTGACTCGATGGGGCCCATGGGGTGGGAATATGGCGCGTGAAGTTTTGGCGCCATTTTTCTTTCCCCCGACGCCCCGGTCGGCCCCCAACGTGCTATGTTCGGCCTGAGTCCGTCGGCGCCAATTTCGGGCCTAACCGGCGAAATTTGGGCTCTTGGGGGCGCGACCGGGCCTTTTTTTAAGCCGACGATAAAAAAGGGGCCTGGGGGCGAGTGGAGATGCTCTAAGTAAGAATCTCTTACTCAACATGTGTAGCACTCACGCAACCAAAGACGTGCAAAAACAGGCGTTTCACCTGGTCAAATGAACAAGAGGACCCAACACTCGTCAGCATTGACAAGGTTTTCTGCAACTTCGAATGGGATAATCTGTTCCCCAACTACATGCTCATGGCAGCCTCGACTGTATGCTCGACCACTGTCCTCTCCTACTGGCAAACACGGCTGCACCAACGCGCAAACCTCCATTCAAATTTGAATCCTTTTGGACACGCTTCCCCCACTTCCAGGAGACAGTGCAACGAGCCTGGCTACACCCGACGGAGCTTGCCTGCCCGATCACGCGGATCAAGCAGAAGATGAAGCGGACTGCATACGATCTCAGGATCTGGGCCAGATCGTTATTCAGCGATGCCAAGGTTCAGTTTCACCTAGCTACAGAAATTGTGCTCTGGTTTGACATCGCCCAGGAGAAGCGCCTGCTCACAGCTGCAGAATTCCATCTGCGGAAGCAACTCAAGCAGAGGATTATTGGCCTTGCTGCGATTGAGCGTGCGCGCAAGCGGCAGGCGTCAAGGATCACTTGGCTAAAGGCTGGGGACGCCAAGATCGCCTTCTTCCAAGCCAAGATCAACTCCCGCAGAAGAAAGAACTTCATCCACTCTCTGCATTCATAGTCTGGAACGGCCACCGCTCATGCAGACAAAGCAGCTGTCGCTCATGATCATTTTGTCAAGCTGCCGGGCACCAAACAGAGCCGCGGCTGCTCCATTAACTGGGAGGCGATCAAGCTGTCGTCTGTCTAGATCGCAGACCTCGACAATCCCTTCTCTAAAGCCGAGGTCGGGGCTGCGGTCCTCGCTTCTCCGGCTGACATGGCTCCAGGGCCGGATGGTTTTCCGGGCGCCTTCTTCAGAACATGCTGGAGCACTATCAAAAACGACGTCATGGTGGTGTTTGAGCACTTCTACAGACTTGCCGGGGGCATGTTCTCGGACCTGAACTCAGCCATGATCGCCTTGCTGCCAAAAAAGGATGGCGCCACCTGCATGGGAGATTTTCGTCCTATCAGCCTCATTCACTCCATTGCCAAGTTGATTGCCAAGGTGCTCTCGATGCGGCTGGCGGCTGTCATCAGCATGATAATCTCCCCCGCGCAGTCTACTTTCCAGAGGTCCAAATGCATACATGATAGCTTCTTGTTCGTCCAAAACAGCGTCCGCGCTCCGCATCGCCGCAAGACCCAGCTCTGTTACCGAAACTAGATATAGCGAAAGCGTTTGACAGTGTTTCCTGGGAATACATCTTTGAGCTTCTGCAAAAAATGGGCTTCCCGGCGCGATGGAGGGATTGGGTGGCCCTTCTCCTCTCAACCTCATGTCGTCATGCCTGCTCAATGGAATCCTAGGGGACAACATTCTGCATCGACGTGGTCTTCGACAGGGCGATCCTCTACATCGACCCTCTACATCGCCTTCTTGAAGCCGCCACTAGGGACGGCCACCTCCAATCCATCCCTGGGCGGGCCGCGCGCATGCGCACTAGCCTTTATGCCGACGTCGCTGTAATCTTCATCAACCCGGTGCGACACCAGATAGACGAGCTCCTCCGCATTCTTCACTGCTTCGGCGAGGCCACGGGCCTCAAGGTGAACCTGGCAAAATCCTAGGCCATTCCGATCGCCTGTGATGGAATCGATCTTGTCACCGTGCTGCAAAATTTTGGAGGGACCATGGCGGCTCTACCCACTAGATATCTAGGTCTCCCGATCACCATTGGCAAGCTTAAACTAGTCCACCTGCAGTTCATCTTAGATAGAATCCGGGCACGGCTCGCGGGCTGGAAGGGTAGGCTGATGCCCATCGCGGGCAGGCGCGTACTTGTGCGATGCGTGCTCTCGGCCATGCCTACTTTCGCCATCCCTGTCCTGCAGGCACCGAAGAAGTTTTTCAAGGACATCGACAAGGTCCGGCGGTGATTCTTCTGGGCTCAGGACGAGGAGCTCACTAGAGGGAAGTGCAAGGTGGCTTGGCAAGTGGTCACCAGGCCGGAGCGCGCAGGCGGACTGGGCATCCATGACTTGTCGGCCTTCAGTCGTGCGCTGCGGCCTCGTTGGCTCTGGCTTGCCTGGACGCAGCCGGGCCGCCCCTGAGTTGGCTCGGGCACCCCTTGCAATGCAGCTGATCAAGCGCTATTCGCGGCCTGCACGGTGGTGACCATCAGCAATGGCGCAACGGCGTCTTTCTGGTCCTCCAACTGGCTCGGCGGCAGGCCGCTCTGCACGGCATACCCTGCGCTCTTCGCTCAATCCATCCGCAAGAACAGATCAGTCCGAGACGCGATGCTCCAGGACAGATGGATCCTCGACCTTCGCCACGGTAACTTTGGTAGCATCATCCACATGGTGTTGCAGCTGGCCAGAGAATTAAGAAGTGCTGGAATCACACTCTGATGAAGGAAGGGAGGACACGATCAGATGGACCCCATGCAGCTCCGGCAAGTACTCAGCACGCTCCGCCTACGACGTCCAGTTTGCGGAGAACCCAGCACTGAACTTCAAGACGTCTCTATGGAAGGCATGGGCTCCGGGCAAGATGAAAATGCTGCTCTGGCTGTTGCATTTGGACAGATTATGGTGCAACGACAGACTGCAGCGTCGCGGCTGGGACAATCGCTACTTCTGTCAGCTCTGTGTGCGCCATCTCGAGACCTCA